CTTCAGCCCGCCCTGGGTGGAGCGGCCGCCTTTGTCGAGCCGGGACCTGCTCTCCTTTCTCGTGCAAGCAGAAGAGGAGCTAGCGAGGAAATAAAAACAAGCTCGAGTTAATGTTTGAGAAGTTCGGGTGCAGGAGACTCTGGTAGGATTCCTGTTTATGCCTATTTTTGGTGGATTTCAGACAATCGTTCGAAATAACAACCTGCGTCCATTACCTTTCTTTGCACAAACTGTGTCCTCAATAGGTAGCAGGTTGGCCCTCTTAAAATATGTCTGTGTGGATGTATATATAAGGCAAAATTCTATATCTTTTTAAAAAAATAATTTGCGTGCATATGTATATAAAATTTGCCAGGAGAAATTTAGGCAAAGTACTGTTAATTTTTACTAACATTTTATTTTGTTCGTTTGCTGGGTGATCCCTGACAACTAATAATTTGTATTAAAATGGGGGGGGGAAGTATCCAAAGAGGTTTGTTGTTTTAATACCTGATTATATGTAACACAATTTCCATATCGACCTCATTGGTATTTGTAATAGGCACTAAGTAATTAGTGATTTCAAGTCTCTGGGTAGACAGGGTCAGGCCTGGAACACTCCGATGGAATCCCTGTGAGGAAAACCTAACATCTGAGGAAGAAGGATACTGTTTACTGCTAGTTCTGTCATTCAAATGAAATATAAACCTGTTGTGACTAGTTTGGGTCATTGCATTTCCATGCCTTTCTTTCACCCTTAAGGACTGACTGAAAAGGGCAGAATTGTGATTGATTTCTAATGCTGTTAATTAATCACTATGCTTAAAGTTTCATCTGCAATTTAAGTTGGATAAATCTTTTTTCCAATCCTTAACTATTTCTGGTAGTAATCCTGTTGTCATTGATAAAGGAATTCCATTTTCACACCATAAGTGACCACTGTTTGCTAGCAAACTATTTTCTTTGGATTTCATAGTGTAACCTTAACATTGGGGTTAAATCTTCCACCATAACCTCCTATTTGCATTTTCTTATGCCTAAAAAAATATTTCAGGGACTGAAAATGCTCAGACATGCCAATCTGAAGTGATTTTTTTTTTTAATGCATTTCTTTACAGCTGGTTGAAGTTTGGGTGTATGTTTAAGTGTATGCAAACAAAATAATATATATATATATATGTATTTATCAACATATGTGCACTTCTTTACTTGTGTAATTTTTTTTCAAGATATTCTTCCAGCAGATCACAGCACGTCCCTTAGTCTTTAAAAGAAGAATGCCACACAACATTTCAAAGTAAAAATGAGGAGCTGAGAGATATTCTTGTTATTTTATAGCAATAAAGGTTTGTGTGAGAGGACAAGTACTTAGGACACTGATTTGTTTTGAAGGCAAGCTGTGAACTGAGCCATGCCAGGAGAAGATATTTAGGATAAAGTAATTCCTTACTGCATATGTCTTAGAGCCTTGGCTTCTGTAAGAGTGAGAGAAACCTCCATTCTTTGTTTCTTAGAATTTATTGTACGATGGTCCTCATATGCCTACACATTCCCAAATCAGTCCTGTTTACTGTATGTGCTATACACAGTAGACAGCTTCCATTTCAGTACAGATTCCAACATGCTAAATTCCCATCCTGGGCATATGTCCTGGAAGGATCTTTGAGCCTTGAAATGGAAATTGTTTGGGTTTGTGAGAGTCCTTTTTCATGTTCCACAGAGGAACCAGTGGGCTGCCAGAAGGTGGTGGATATGCATAAGGGAAAACAGGTGTATATAAATATATGGTGGTGTTTTGCTGCAACTTCTCAGTATTCAAAGTTCTCTGAAGGCTCTGAGTGCTTTTTATTTACCTAATTGAAAATGGGCTTTAATTCATTGAAGCAAGTAGGCTAAGCATGTAAGAGCTTGAAAAGAATCTTTAAGAACTCTTTTCCTCTGTGTAGTAAGTGCATTTAATCACTCTCACCAGTTCTTGAGTTCTTTTACACATCCGAAATCATCATCCTGGGTTCTTCATGGAAAGGATACAAGTATACTGTGTATGTGTAGGAAAAAATAGTTAGGAATGTGTATGGGGGAGGAAAGACTAATATATTGTATTCTTCTTGGAGTAGGACCTACATTTCCATTTTTAAATGTACAGTATTTGAGCTTATGGCTGATGATCTCAGATGCTACCCCAGTAAAAATAATAACAATAAATGATAGTGTGGTATGAAAGCGATACTTAAGGGTTTGCTGTGGCTCCATCCATGAAAGATGAGTTTTTACCCTAGTACATAGGTTGTTAATATATATGAAGTTATATTGGAAATGTTTTAAATATTTACTGATATCAGTTGATCTCTGCCAGTCTGTGTAGTTAAATATTTAACACCTGAAATCCAGAAGTCCCAGTATCGTTGTTTAACTTTTTGAACATAGTCTCAAAAGTTCCTGAAAATCCATTGGTTTTCTCATTAAAGGAATTTTCTACACTCAGAGATGTCATGATTTTTGGTCTGAGACTCTCACACCTTTTCAAAGCTAGAAGTAAGATTTACATGTATCATCAGAAGAGAGAATCAGCCACCTCTGATCACATGAAGTCTCTGATCCTGGTTTTTCAGGGTCATGAGCTATTGAACCCTACAACTTGCTGGTAGGACTGCTTTTCCTTTTGTTCCTTGGTGAAATTGAGGCTAAGACAGATTGAAGTATCAACATCTAGTCCCAAGAATTTTCATTTCAGGAGCTGTCCAAAGCAGCTCAGTGGTTTGGAATGGTACAATAACTGTGTAAGTAAAATAGATTAGAGTCCATTTCATTATAGGTCTCTTAATTTACATATTTTGAGAGCTGGTTGATGGAGCAAAGCTGCCAGTTTTTGATATCTTATTTGTTAGGATGTCAATTTCCTGACTTTTTGCTTATTCTTTTTATTTTTTATTTAAGGAACTTCTGAAGCAGATGTTCTCTTCTATTAGACCTAGACATTATAATGATTGATATGTGATGCTTTCAAGTTTGTTTACTTACACTTAGTTTGCTCTGTGGGATTACAGGTATTTAAGAATTCCTGTCACCATGTGGGCTGACTAAGTTTTCACAGAGAGTAATAAATAACTTGGTATAGAGTGATGGAGGAAGTGCTGGATCAGGGAACTGTCTTCCTTATGCTCAGCCACCCAACTGACTTCCTTCTTCCACCTTTTTCTTTCCTGCAAAATAAACAAGCTGTTCTGTGAGCAGTAGAACCAATAAAGTCTGTTTTCCAATAGATCTTTCCTTTTGTCCCCTAAAGCCTGTCTGCTGTAGAAACTCCAGCTTTCCCACGTCCTCATGACACTGGCATTTGGTAAGAGACAGCAGAACTCTGACTAGCCAGGAACCACACAGGTGTTGGCTGTCCAGTCAGTATATGCCTGGTGATTACCCATATGAGCAGTCACAGAAAGTACAAACTGAGTGCTACCTCTTTTTCAGCAGGAGTACAACTTGCATACTGCTACTGACTTAACATACTTAACTTAGACTGTTACTTATTTCTGTTCACTTTGTTTCAGTTTTGCTATTTAGGTTTTGTTCTACTGCCTCCTCTATTCTTCAACTCCTTTTTTTGCTGGGTTTTGCTATATCTCATGGGCTACTTGAGAAAGCTCCTGTTCTTATGCCAGAGTTGGGTTCTTGGTTTGATATTAGCTTGTCTGTTAGCTTTCTTTGTAAATATAAGTAGTTACTTTCACTGAAAGAGGTGAGAATAAGTATTAAGTCTTTTCAAGGAAAGGGATTACAAGGATGGTATGAAGAGAGTGCTAGTGCAGTAAAGCTAAGGAAAAAGATGTTGAAAACAAGAAATCTGTGCTGATATCTATTGAATTTTCAAGTAATGTTATAAAGGATGTAGTGGAAACAATGGGCAAAATACCAGCAAATTTGGGGAGAGTCCTAGACCATTAAGAATATGAACCAATTATCTTATTAGATATGTTCCATCTCAGTTTTATGATTAAAACCAGAAGACATGTGAGCTAAGAGCATTGCTCCCCCCTTTTTCTACTTAACTATCCAGAAGTTTCTGCCCAAAATGTAAAAGTAATTGGGGCTGCATAGTAGTAGTGGAAGGGAATGGGAAAAGAAGTGTGGAAAGGTAAAAGAAAAAAACCCAGCATCTTGTAGCACAGTCGTGTGTTGATAATTCAAGGAAACGCTGCTTTATTCTTTTTGTGTGTGGCTAAGAATTTCCTGGTATCATCTACCCTTTTCCTATTGACTATTTAAGTCCTAGGCTTGAGAAGAAGAGGCAGTTGTTAACACTGTGTGAGTATATAGCAGTGGCCATATTGAGTGAGGCCAAAACTTTTTTTAGCCTGATCACTTTTGAGAGTGACCAGCAGTGCAAGCATGGGGAAAAGTGCTACACACAGTCAGCAGTAAAGGGCAAAGGACCTGTGCCTTCTGAGAGGTTAGTTTTCATAATTATTTCATGTCGTCTTGCAACCCTTTCCTCTTCTCAGTATTATAATGCTAGTCAGGATCCTGCTGCCTGTTGGATGTCAGTCAAGGAGGGATGAGCATCGGAGACAACCAACCTGGCAGAAGTCTTTAAAAAGATTACTATCTTTTCTCATACAACTTTCAAATACCATAAAGAGAAGAGAGGAGTTAGTTATATGCAGTCAGCAAGGGTAGAAGAGGGTCTTTTGTCTGCCAAAGGAAATCCAAACCTGCTGAAGGTGGCTTTAGGCTTAAACCTGAAGCTGTCAAGAGCTGGATTTCAGAACTTGTCCCACAGTTCAGGGCTCTGAAAACACTCTGGGTGCAACAAAGTACAATAAATGGGAAAGCAAGTTATTAAGTAAATTGAATACTGAGTATTTTATATCAAGACAAATTGTAACAAAGACAAGAAGCTTCTTATGATGGTATACATCTGTAACTGTGTAGCCGCTGAAGTGGCAATAGTAAACAGCATATGATTATACTGTATCTTACCTGATGTTTCATTATGTACTTTAGAACTACTCACAAACTATTCTAGAAAATTGTGTTAGAATCAGAAGCTATTCTTAGATTTGCTGAAACACAGTTTCTTGATACTGTAATCGGTTCTAATTTGTGTTTGGTTTTTTTTGCTTTCAACATTGTTTTCATAGGATTTTTGGCATCTTGGAGAAACAGTAGAAAATGCAAAACGAAATAATAAAGCCGGCTAAATACTTCTCAGAAGTGGAGAAGAGTGTGCTGCTTGCATTAGTTGAAAAATACAAATACGTGCTTGAATGTAAAAAAAGTGATGCAAGAACTATTGCTCTGAAACAACGTACCTGGCAAGCACTAGCTCATGAATATAATTCACAGCCCAGTGTATCACTGCGAGACTTCAAACAGTTAAAGAAATGCTGGGAAAATATCAAGGCACGGACAAAAAAGATAATGGCACATGAAAGGCGGGAGAAGGTAAAAAGAAGTATTAGTCCACTTATAAATACTCACATCATAGGGAAAGAGAAGATTGCCAGCATAATGCCTGAGCAAATGTACTTTTTGCAGAGCCCACCAGAAGAAGATTCTGAATATCAGCCTGATGCTTCTAGTCAAGGTATAAATGTTACTGTAATGATGCAAGTAGTATTGTTTTGTATGTGATTTTGGCAGTGATTCTCTTTCAGCAGTCTAAATCTCTCCACTTAGCTGTGACTGCTGGTTATAGAAAAGTAATTTCAGAGCTATGATATTACAAGACTCTGTGTATTTCCCTAGGCCCCCAGGAGTTAAACTGAGATTTTACTCAATTTTTTTTCATCAGTTTTTGACATATTTGCTACTCTGTGGTAAACATCACAGTAGCTATCATGCTGGCTTTCCAGAGAACTGTCCCATGGATATTTTGATCCTTTATAAACCATCATTTTGATGGGAAGAGGTTGTCTGAGCAAAAAAAAAAAAAAAAAAAAAAAAAAGGCACCAGCAACAAATTCATACATAATTGTCTGCTGCAAGAGTTCCCTGTAGGTCTTTCCTCCTTTCTTTTCAAGGAGTAAAAAGAGGATGTAGAGCCATATTTCACACTGCAGTCCACACTGGAGAATGGCCTTTCTGAAAAAGTTCAGCACTACATTCTTCTTTGTTTGACAAGCATACACAGAAGGAATAATCCAAAACCAGAAGGAAGGGTGGCTACAGCAGTTTCTTGCAAACTGTAGTATGTCAGGATTGGACATAGAAGACTGTACTTGCTCAAAAGACAACAGTAACTACATTGTTAGATAACATTCTTACAACGTCTCTTTCATAATAATTTTTACCAGAAATAGTCATCAGGATTTGTAAAGGAATGTATTTTGAGACCCTTATTTGCAGTGGCAACTGTTTTATTCCATGAGTAGTTTCTTTTATTTCAGAAGAATTGCTAGAACTCTGATCAAAGTCAGAATAATGTAATTTTTTCCTGAGAGTATATACCATTGCATTTATGACATTCAGTAGTGATAAGGAAGTAATAAATAGTATTCTTCCCAGTATTCCCTCAGTCTCTTGGTATTAATGTTGATGCAGCTCTTCTTCTGATACTCAGGTCTTTCATTAAAATAGTGCAAGTCACATATGGATTTGGCTTAAACTGCTGCATGAAGGTTCAGCTCCAGGCTCAGCCACCTAAAATTAGGTGTCCACATTTAAATGTCTGCATTCACTTTAGTATTCTGAGCTTCCATTATAGTCATGGAAGTCTATCAACAGAGCCCAAAGCAGTTCATTTCAGGCCATTATCTCCTTAGTATTCTGTAACACAACTGCATTATGTAGTGGCTCCTGTACTATGGTACAGAAGTGTGAGGTTTAGATGATACACCAATAACTATATTATCACAAATTGATGTTTCTTGAGAGAGAAAAAGGGAATGCTATAATACTTTTTCCTCTTATGTTTTGCAGAGTCATTTGTCGTCTCAAATAGAGAACTTTGTGATGAAGAGAAAGAACTGGTACATTTCCCAGTATGTGAAGGTACCTCCCAACCTGAGCCTTCGTGTTCTGATGTCAGAATAGCAGCAGATAAGAACTACAGAAGTAAAGCGTCTCAGGAAAGTGCTCTGAAAAAGATGCATGAGGAAGAACATCATCAGCAAATGTCAATTTTGCAACTGCAGTTAATCCAAATGAATGAAGTTCATGTGGCAAAAATACAGCAAATAGAAAGAGAATGTGAGATGGCTGAAGAAGAACACAGGATTAAAATGGAAGTCCTAAATAAAAAGAAAATGTATTGGGAGAGAAAACTGCAGACCATCACCAAAGAATGGCCTGTATCATCCTTTAACAGACCCTTTCCTAATTCACCGTAGACCATAAAGGGGCAGAGAGTCAGTCTGAGCACATTTATGAGTAACATGCACTGGAAAGATGTTTTTTTAATGTGAATGTACAGTAACGGGATAGGTGCCTGGCTTATAGTGAACACAGTTTGACTCTTAATGTTTAGGGTAACAGTGGTAGCGTTCACCAAGGGGAAAACTGTATTGTTCATTTGTAGGTAGTTTGTTTAACTCTCAGACACGCACTGTTCTAAAATGTGAACGTATTTTCCTCTCAGAATACCCTAACATCCTTTTGAAATTTAAGGTACTCTGGGTATTCTTACATTGGGTGTTCTTAAGAAAACTTTACAGCTTTAAACATCAGGTTATAGTGTTTATTTCTATCTCCTCCTCCTATCTACCATTTCCCAAATGAAAGCAAGGGTTGGAGTTTCTCTCTGAACTTGAGACAAAAGGTGATTGATAGGTATTGGTTGGATTGTTAGGCTGGGGCTTAGGAAAAAAAACCCCACCTCTAGTTAATATAGTTCATAATTTATTCTTTATAGAAGATGTGTTAATGAAGAAAGTAGCAAAAGGACCACTGTAGTAACTGAGCCCTTTGCTTATGAATAACAGTAATATTTTCCAGCTGGCTGGCTGATTGAGAGAATGATTGTGAACTGGTCCTCTAGTTTTTTGATCCTTGACCCTTAAGAAGTTGGAAAGAAGGTGACTTCTTCCTTAAAAAACATTGTGCTTCTCCTTTCTTTTCCAGGCCCATACTGTATTCAAGTAGAATACTGAAATATGAGGGTCACTTGGTGCTGCCAGTGCTGTGTGCTGTTCACCTGGAGCCATTCTGAGGGGAAGAGCTTTTTAACAATTCATAAAGCTCTTAAAATGTCATGAGCTAGCCAGTCCATTGGCAAAGTCTCCCTCTATTTCCCTATGCAATACTTGATAGCATAGCAGATAGCCTGAGTATTTCAACCTCTCCCTTGCTAGAAGAAAAGTCTAAGACTCTCTTTTCCTTCATGTAGGGTGGGAAACAGTTCAAGGGAATCATTCCTGTCTTGGACCACTGTTCTGTTTTGTTTTGTTCTGTCCTGTGTGCTACGGTGCTGTGATTCTTGCCATTGCTGTCAGTGACGGACATGATTTGTATGAAAGCATTCACATGGAGGTCCCCACAGAGGCGATGGGGGGGGGG